CTCAAAAAATGTAATTAAGCAACTCAATTTTTTTAAGTTAACATTAATTATAAATAACAATTAAGTCAAACTAAAAAGCTTAAATTTGTTTTTGCTTAATGTTTAAGTGCAGTGTACTTAAAATTATTGTTTATCATGCGTAATGTTTTTCATTTACCAATTATTTTAATGCAGTAGTGCTTTATTAAATACAAATACTAACTCAAAAAATACACTTATGCATAAAAAAACACACGCACAACTGTGGCTATACAATTGAATATACAATGTCAAACACTGGAAGATCATCTCATCACAACTGCAGTGCTTGCAGGACTTGTAGTGGTTTCATTGTCCATGATAACAAAATCAGCAGGAGAGGTGTTTGTGTCAGTGATGATTTATACCAAATGATTGAATGTTTCACCATGACCACTCCCTCTCCTTGGTCTTTAAAAATGGCTGACATTAATTTAGTGATCAAGTGTAACACCCTCATGGAAATATGATAATATTGTGTAATTATCATTTAAACCTGATTAATTTTCACTATTATTTATATAATTTTCATTAGTTAGACATTAGTTGAGGGGCCACACACACACAATTTTAACTAACTAATACCTGAGAAGCTTACACGACAACAACAACGTTCTCAATAACAAGCATGTTCCCAACAGAACCAGAAGCCCTAAGAACAAGCATGTTCCCGACGTTCTTATGCCAGCTAAGCAGAGTTTGGAAAACCTTCCCATGCCACTGCATTTACATGATCAACAAATGTAAAATGCGGTAAGAACAAAGCATTGATGGGCACACGGCCAAAGCTCTACCACATCGGTGTCAGGCCCATATTGTTGAGTCATAAGTAAATCCAGAGAAAAAGCAAGCATGTACTGTACCTGCTGGGGTGGGCAGAAAGTCTGTCTTGCGTGCAGCTGTAGCTGTTTTTTGATGTTCTCGCTCAAACACTGACACACTCTTGATTTTTGCTCCAGGGAATTTGCTTCCAGACTCAGAAGACAATCACACTTCTGCTGAGACATAGACAGAGAGAGACATAGATGAATATTGTAGCATGCAAGTGTTTATGGGGTTCGGTCAAGTGAAGTAAAAAAAACATCACTTGGCTTGTTTTGTTTGTAGTGCAGAGAAGCCAGGCTTTTTTTCTCTGTGGTAAGAGACAGAGAAAAGCTCTTATTTGTTTGTGTGTCTTATTAACATTTCAAGTACTGCCTGAAGTGATTAGAGATATGGGTATGATCCATTTTGTTAATGAAAGTCATCTTAAGACCCCAACTGTGCACTTTACTGATGTAACACTCTTAATTTTTGCTCCAGGGAATTTGCTTCCAGACTCAGAAGACAATCACACTTCTGCTGAGACATAGACAGAGAGAGACATAGATGAATATTGTAGCATGCAAGTGTTTATGGGGTTCGGTCAAGTGAAGTAAAAAAAACATCACTTGGCTTGTTTTGTTTGTAGTGCAGAGAAGCCAGGCTTTTTTTCTCTGTGGTAAGAGACAGAGAAAAGCTCTTATTTGTTTGTGTGTCTTATTAACATTTCAAGTACTGCCTGAAGTGATTAGAGATATGGGTATGATCCATTTTGTTAATGAAAGTCATCTTAAGACCCCAACTGTGCACTTTACTGATGTATACACTTGTCACAGAATGATGCTGTCATAACAATGCTAATTGACACAAGATCATTACTTTCATTACTTTCAAATTACTTACTACTTACATTTTCAATAAAATATAGTTCATTTCTAGTATATTTCTACATGCATTTGAATGTGTGTGTGTGTGTGTGTGTGTGTGTATATATATACAGTAGTCAACATTTGAAGTGGATCAAAACCTTTCATCAAAGTTGTCCTAAAAACCAAAACAATACCCGTTCTTAGGACAACTTTGATGAACTTTGAGTATATATATATATATATATATATATAATTCACATAATTCTGGCCTTTTCTCTTAGAACTGCAATATGCTAACTCAGAATTACACTGGAAAAAGTTACAATTCTCAGGTGAAAACTCAATTCTAAGATAAAAAGCCAAAGTCAATTTTAATCAATCAATTTTTTTATTTTATTTTTTTGGTACCACAGTGTACCAGGTGTAAACACGTCTTAAAGATCATGTGTTCACAGGTCATGGATTAAGTTTAGCATGGGGGATAGCAATTATGCCTCATTGTCAGACAGAAAAGAAACAAAACCTATAGGAGGAAGCTACTGTTACTGTGTGAGGAATGATGAAACGCAGTGGCTTCTCAGCCCAGCACCAAAATCAATATGTCATTCTGCTCGATCCATCATTTCAACTAAATAAAGCGGCCTGAGACCATCAGTTTCAGCCTGAGACCAAAGCTGCATATAGCCGGTGATGATGATGTCATTCTTGAGAGGCATTAAAAATTTTATTGAAAAGTTTCCCCAAATAGAAATGTTGTTATCATTTACTCAATGTTATTCCAGCTCTGTATCAGTTTCCTCATTTTCACAAAAGGAAATGTTAGGAAGAAGAATGCCTCTTTTGCAAAAAAATGGAAGTGGACAGTGATGTATGGATGACATATTTTGCATGATTTCTTCTTTAAATCACCATAACTGTATGTCCCATCACATAAGAAATATGCATCTGAACTCATGTTGTGATGCTTTGACTGACACTTTATTAAAATGGTCACATAATTTTACATGAAATGGGGTTTATGAAATAGGGCTCTAAAAAAAGTAATCAAACATTCAACAATTCCACTGAGATGACAAAAGATTAGCAAATTCACACAGCCTCCACCACAAAACATAGTAACTGGGGACATCCAATTCCAGAAATGTGTTCCTGGACAACTATCAGCCAGATCTTCAGCTCAGATATGGGCTGCATCTGGCCGCCTCAGGGACCAAGAGACTTCTGTTCCAATATTTCCCAGCTGCTGCTGGTCTCTTCATCCAGCCACAGACCAGAGTCCCCGAACCAGGAAGACTGGCTGTGGTACATCAGGATAACTGTCAGAGCACATGGGGCATTTTTATGATGCAGTCAGAGACTTGACTGATTACACATTACATAATATTAAATACACAGGGAAAACAGGTCTTTTTCATTCAGTAGTTTTCCTTCTTTCGTACTGCAGATCAGTCTGCAGTTAGAGAGAAGACTATTTTAAGGGCCTGTGTGCCTAACATTATAATGAAGGGCCTGTGTGGCTAGCATGTCTTTATCTTGGGATTTTAGAACTGGACATATCTAAAAGGACTTTAGGCCTTTTTAGGGACACGATCTTTACCAACAATTTACAGATTTCATACATTACAGGCAATTCCACTATGGCCACGAAAATTGTCCCAAAATCAACATGCTATATAACTAATAATTAGTCCCTTAGACAAAATATAGCTTGTTTGCAGTTTTACAATTATTCTGAAAGAGTCTGTAACACTGGCCACCTAATTAAAAAAAAATTATATATATATATATATATATGGTTCGTCAACAGCATTTAATATAAAAAAATGTCCTTTGTTCTCTTGTGGTGGGCTATTTTATCAGAAAGCTAAAGCTGTTGGTTTCTGAGGTAGCTACTCTTTTAGAAAACAAGGTCAAGCTGATGCTTCATACAAGTATATATTTAATTTGAAAGTCACCTCTGCTGGAATTGAACCCATTTTATAAAGCAGCATCAACTTTTCTTACAAATTAGAAAATTTGTTTACTAATTTTTTACCTTTTTACCTTTTTTTACCTTTTTACCTTTTTACACTGAAAGTGAAAATTCGGCACAATGGCGCTTTTGAATCGAAACGATAGATCCCAATTGGGACTATTCATTTTAAACAAATCTTTAATATGACTCAGGAACAACGAGTTGTCTCAGAGAGTGGCTCGTTTTTTTTTTTTTTTTTTTTTTTTTGTGTGGTAAAAACAAGGTTCCATATTAAAGGCTTACTTAATATTAATATTTAATATTTCATTAGTTCATGCAATCCTGCTGTTTTTAAATCTAGTTTAAAAACTTACTTTTACAGTTTGGCGTTTAACAGTGAGCGCTGTTCGTTTTATATAGTGTTGTTGTTGTTGTTTTTCTATTATTGTTATATTTTATTCATGTTCGTACAGCACTTTGGTAAACACTTGTTGTTTTAAGAAAGTGCTTTATAAATAAACTTTGACTTTGGGAATGGAACCAACAACCTTGCCGTTGCGAGCGTCACGCTCTCTACCGTTTGAGCTATAGGAATTTACCAATACTTAACCTGGTAATTTATGGAACAAAATCATCTCTATCCATTTCTTCTTGAACACTGAAGTGGTGAAAAGTTTGTACAGCATAAAATCAATATTTACTAATGCAGTACAATACGGACAAATTCGGATTGACCTGCAGTAGCTTCACCTCCCAAGTCTGTTGCTACGTCCGACAAGCCATGTGGCTCTCACTCTACACATCATGCTCTCACGCAGTGAAAAATACATAGTAGAGCAAAGCCGAAACTTACAACATGCTGACAGACTTACAGAGCACCTTACCGGACTCAGCTTTCAAATTTGGTCATCTTTTAAAGAACTTCAAACAATACATACAATACAATACATTCAATTTTTGTGGCTCTTTAATGTGTCGTGACAGATCACTGTAGTGCCTCAGTTCAAGCGGCACGTGAACCGATTGCCTTTTCATTGTAGCGTCTGGACCAATCAAACACACAATATATATTTTGTTAGCTATATTTAACTAATACTCTGTAACACCCCTCAGTTAACAAGCCATATGAGGACCTATGGACCCTTCCCCCGAAATGCGTAACACCTCAGGAAAGCAGAACAGGCCTCTGGTTCCATGGCAACCAACGCTGATATCACTGGGTTTATTGCCTAGAGGAATGCGAAGCAGGAAATTAACGTTCTTAGAATTGACAGACAGTTGACCCTGAGAGGTCAAGTAAATATCTACAGCGGATCTAAATATTTATAATTAATTATAACTAGTTATGATTAATTATTCATATTTCCCCATGAGCTGATTCGCAACATCATATTTACTTAAAGTATGAAGTAAACATGAATGAACATCAGACTGTATTTTATTTAAACCACGAAAAGACGTCACACACAATTGTTGAAAGTTGGTTGGTTGAAAGTCTCTCCACATTCCAATAGTAATCACTAAATTAAGTGGTCTAAATGTATTTATATGTACAGTAATTATATCGTTTATGGAAGGTGTAGGACCATGAAATGTTCGTCCAATCAAAATGTTCAGTCCAAACATTACGATAAGCAGTCCTACCTGCCTGTCAATATGTATTCGCATACTTCTGCACAGACATGATACATCATCAGCGCATCACGGCGAGAGTGAAAGGTGCTATTATTGTAATGTGCTATTTGCTTTGTACTGTAATGTTTTCTCAGCGGTGAATGAGACATAAGGTAATCTGGCAGCATTGTTTTCAACCCTCAACCAACGGCATCTCTCATCATGTCGCTGGTTAATCTCTCCTCTGATAGAGCGCATTCATGTATTATGTAGGAGGCATGGCTTTGCAGAGTGATTACGCAGGGAGGCTGGGGGTCTTGCTTTCAAAGCTAATTTGCTATTGCTAGCCTTTCTGAAATCACCTACCCTACCTTTAAGTTCACCGAAGTCTCATGTATGATTTGTTTGTCACAGAGCCCGTCTGGTTTGTTGGACAAAATGGCAGATTCTGTGTTATGATTGGTCAGATCACCTGTCAATCAAGCTCTTTGCGAAGGGTCATTTAGATTTTGGCTGCGTTTCCTAGAAGCATCGTAAGCTCAAGTAGATCGTAGCTCCACTGGGTCTATTTTGTACTTAAGCATACGATGCTTTTGGGAAACACAGACTTGATCTTAGATCACGTGCCCAGAGCAGCTGCTGTTGCACAAAAGGGCGAGAGTGGAGAGTGGCAAGAGTTGTTTCCAAAACCAGTGTAAACAAACACCAAAGAAGAGCATCCCAGAAGAGAGAAGAGAGTGGATGCTAAGTTCTTGTTATCATTGGTATCTGAGAAAATATTTTTTCTAGCATGTTCTTAATACAGAATATCAGTTCTATTAATTCTCTAATGTGACCTGAAGAGCACTGCTTGTTTTCTTCCACGTGCGCAAGTGTTATGAGTCAGAGCGCATTCAGTCTAGATCTGTCTGTCAGGTATCTCCCGCCCTTCCGTATGAAAAAAAAAATAATGAGAGAAACATTTTTCTACACATGAAATATGATAAGCATTATAGATAGTTTGTTTTTCTGGTTGTCACAATTGCAGTTCGGTGTTCCCCTGTCTTGTGACAAAGACTCTTGTTTTGAAGGGTCTTCTCCTATTGTTTCTGTGCTTGCTTCCT